TCAGAAGGAAAAAAGAATGTGATGCAAGCTCTTTTCCAGCCTACTTTGTTGCCTTGCCTGATTCAGACTGGCCTATAAGACCCTCAGTTGTCCATCTCTTAGTTCTTTCTAACTTTACCAATAAAAGTGTAAAAAATTTTTTCTATTTTACATGTCTTTTTTTTTTTTAGTACGGGGATCAAACTCAGGTCTTGTGCAGGCAGCAGGCAGAACCACTGAGCTAAATCCCTGGCCTAAATGTCTAAAAGTTCAGTAAAAATTAACGTTTTATTAATGCCTATCAAACTACAGAATTTGCTGCTTTCTATGGGTGAAATAACTAGACAGTTCCAAGGTAATCATAAACAACTGATTTACATTTGCTATGCATGGTTACTAAGAAAATTCAGTTTCTCCTATAGGGCCAGGGATGTAGCTCAGTGGCCCCATGCCTGCCTGCCAAGTGCAAGGTTCTGAGTTCCATCTCTAATACTGAAAAACAAACAAAACAAAACAAGTCTTTCTTCTAGCAGTTTCTCTCCTGGCACTATACTATAGGAAAAAATACTAATACATCTAGCATAAAATTACAAAGGTACCAGCACAAGATATGTATTGTGACAGCAAAAGGCAATATAAATGCCCATCATTATGGAAATTGCTCAGTAACTTGTACATCCAACCCAATAAATGTTGTGGTAATATCAAACAGAATAACCTGAACCTATACCAGATAACTCAGAGGGATTTCCATTGGTGTCATTATATGAGAAAAGTGAGATACAGAATACAGTATACGGTATCTCATATTTGTAAAAGAGTAACAATTAAAAAAACCCACATGCCCCAGATGTGGTGGCATATATGCCTGTAATCCCAGCACTCGGGAGGCTGAGGCAGGAGGATCGCTGTGAGTTCAAGACCAGCCTGGGCTACACAGTGAGTTCCAGGTCATTCTCAACTATATAGTGAGACCCTGTCTCAAAACACAAAACAAAACAAAAACCCACATCCATATGTATGTATGATTATATGAGTGTTGAGAAAAATAGAGAAGAATACGTATTAGATTACAAATATGGGCAGATTCTGATGTATGCAGTGTAGGGAAGGAGAGTAAGGAGCCAAACAGTGAAGGCAAGGGGGAAATATTTAGTGAAAGAATTCAGTATGTGATTTTATCTATATACAACTAGAGTGTGTGTATGGACATAGTTACTTTTTAAAAAACTAATTGAAACAGTTACGATAAGGCGTAATCAAGGGAGCCTTTTGAATGAGAAGGGACTAAAAATATACATGTATTAAACTGAGATCTTGGAGTGAAGGAGGGAGAAATTTTGGAAAGGGAACACTTTTTAAGCAAGATAATCAGAGAAGGAAAGAATGGGATTGGACTTGTCTTTGAGATAAGGACTTAATTTACACAATAATCGGGAAGTAGTAAGAAAAAAAGTTGTGTGGGTCACCAAAGACTAAATATTGTGTAATCTCTTTATATGAAATCTCTGCAAGATGCAAATTCGGGCCGGGGATCTAGCTCAGTAACACCTCACCTGCCTTGTGAGCACAAGGTCCTGAGCTCAATCTCTGGTACCGCAAAAAAAACAAAATGCAAATCCACAGAGGAAAAAAATAGATCCTTGGTTGCCAGGACAGAGGGGATTGGGAGAACATGGGAAGTGGCTTATGGACCTGGAGTTTCTTTTTTTTTTTTTTTTTGTACCGGAAATCAAACTTGGGACCTTGTGTTTTGTGAAGCAGGTGGCTGAACCACTGAACTAAATCCCTGGCCCTGGGGTTTCTCTTTTGATAGAAGAAATGTTCTAAAATTAACAACGTGGTTACTATGGCTGATTTCTATACCTCAAATGGCGAAATTGTGTAAGATATATAAAATACCTCAGGAAAGCTATAAAAGAGGAAATAACAGATGGATTGGAGTTGTGTGGCAGAGAACATTCTTCATGAAGCCTGAGAATGAATTTGATCTGATGGACAACAAGAAACTATTTCTGGTTATGAATTTAGAATGGACATTTTGTGGATTCACTTTTTTAGCTTCTTTGTTTTCTCTTTAGTATTTTAATTATAAAAGTATCTGTTCATTGAGCCGGGCGTGGTGGCGCACACCTGTAATCCCAGCACTCAGGAGGCTGAGGCAGGAGGATCTCTGTGAGTTCGAGAGCAGCCTGGGCTACATAGTGAGTTCCAGGTCAGTCTCAATTACATAGGGAGACCCTGTCTCAAAAACAAAAAAAACAAACAAAAAAAGTAGATGTTCATTAAAGCAAAATTCCAATGTTACAAAGACACATGAAGTAGGAAATCTGACTCTTCTCTAATTTCACTCCGAGAACATCACCACTATAAAAAGTGTTATTATTTTTAATAACTTTTCTGTATCTTTTTTGTGATCTGTAATGTTTTCATTCAGCCCAGTTTCACAGTTATCTTGGCATATTTGTATATGAGAACTGGCTACCACAGGGAGAAATATACTAGCACCTTAGAATTATCAAAAACATTAAATTGGGTGATACATAAACAATTAGAAATGTTAGTACTTTACACATAGGAAGCATTCAGTAAGCCAGCGTTGGATGCCGTTTGATTAATCTTATGCTAAGTGAAGGCTAAGGGATTATAGCTTTGGTAAATGGTTGTGTTCGTGGTTATTTTTCACTGGAACCTAATGTAAAAGGCAAATTTTCCATTTCATAAGGAAAGCATTCACCCACTTATCACCATGGTAACACCAGGTAATAATAGTAACAACAAATGGCAGCCAGACATGGTGGTGCACACCTGTAATCCCAGAACTCTTGAGAGGCTGAGACAGGAGAATCACAAGTTTAAGACCATCCTGGGCAACTTAGTGACTTAGCAAGACCCTATCTCAAAATTTAAAACAGCTAGGCATAGTGACACACACTGGTGATCCCAGCACTCAGGAGAATCACCACAAGTTTAAGGCTAACCTGGATTACATACTGAGTTCAAGGCTAGCCTGAACTACATAGTGAGACCCTGTCTCAAAAATAAATGAAAGTTTAAAAATGTTTAAATAGTTGGAGGTGTAGTTGAGTGCAGAGACCCTGGGTTTCAAAAAAAGAGAGAGAGAGAAAAGAAACGGCTGGGCATGGTCACACATATCTGTAATTCCAGCTATCAGAAAGCTGAGGCAGGAGGATCTCAAGATTCATAGCAGCCTGGACAATTTAACAAGACACCCTGTCGCTCAAAATGTTAAACAAGGAGGCTTGGAAAAGCTGGCAATACAGCTTTCTGATAGAGTGCTTGCAGGACTTGTGGAAGGCCCTGAATTTGATCCCTTTACCACAACCACCAAAAATAAAAAGAACAAACAGCCCCTTATTACATAGGTTCTTTTTAGTTTTTAATTCTTGTGTTTAGTATTTTGAGACAGAGTCTCACTATGCAGTTCGGGCTTGCCTTGAACTCACTGTAGCCCATCCTGGCCTCAAATTTACAGCATTCCTCTTGCCTTAGCTTCTCAAGTGCTGGGATTACAAATGTGTGCCACCACGCCGAGCTGTAGCACTGGTTTCTTAATAAAGATCTCCACTTGCTGGGGGAGCTTAAGGGTATCTGAGACTTTTGAAGTTTCATGTCAGAAGTTTATATGTGCCTCCATGTGGTTTAGTAAACAGAATGATTCCTTGGTTTGCATAAGATCCCTAGGGAATGTTCAGGGTTTTGTTTTGTTTTGTTCTAAGAGGTTTAGTTTGGCTCACAGGAGGTGTTCAGTACTGTGCTTTATCATCTTTGATTCTCAAGACAGCCCAAAGAAGTGAATTATCAGGGTTTTGGGCCATACCGGGATGACCTTCAGGGAGCTCACTTGTATTTCCACATCACTGTAAATGTCAGATAAAGAGGGAGAAGTCGGACTGGGGATTTGGCTCAGTGGTTCTGCCAGAGCCTGGAAAGCACAAGGGCCCGAGTTCTCCCCGGTACCAAAAATAAAAAAGAGTGAAAAGTCTTATTCAAGAGATGATACTATGTCTTGGGAATTCAGAGAGGGAGTTTATTCTGGGTCTTCTTTTTTTTTCTCATTGAGTTTATTGGTACATTTTCGGTATACAGTACAGTTACATTCATCATTGGGCTCTTGTACCTTTACATGAGAAGTCTTGGTTCATTTTTTTCCCCGTACCCCTGCCCTCCCTTCATCCCATCCTCCCTTCCCTATATTCTGGGTCTTTAGAGAAAGATTTTTGTCCTTAATTTGTTATGTTCAAAGATCTAAGTCATGTAACAAGTACTTATGAAGTGCCCATTATATTTCAGTTATTTCTTGAGACCCTGAACAAACAAAATCTTTGTCCTTCTGTGTGTGTGGTGTGTGTGTTTTGTTTTTGGTGTTTTTGTGTTTTGTTTTGGTTTTTGGGTTTTTTTTTGTTTTTTGTTTTTTTTTGGTACCAGGGATCAAACTCGGGACCTTGCATTTGGGAGGCAGGCGGCAGAACCACTGAGCTAAATCCCCTGCCCTGTCCTTTGGAAACTTGTGTTCAAGAAAATCCTTCTACCCATTGTAGAGAGCGAAGCCTCAGGGCAACTGTGACTGTGCATAGCCTAAGAAATGCCTTGGACACAATAATGTTCAATAAATATTGGATTAGATGAGTGAAAGGAAGAATTAGAGATCTAGAAGAATTCTTTTTTTTGGTACCGAGGATTGAACTCAGGTCCTCACACTTGCCAGGCAGGCGGTGGAACCACTGAGCTAAATCCCCAGCCCTAGAAGAATTCTTAGGCAGCCATGATTCCAGTTTTCAGCCATGACCACGTTTAACTTTAATTTCTTCCAAATTTTTGCAGCAATAGGAATTTGAAGAAAGAAAAAAAAAATTGAAACCTGAGTTGTCTTGTTAATTCTTGTGTGCTGGGAGATTTAGCATAGATTAAAGAAGTAAACTTGGGTATATGTAGCTACAGGATTAAGCTACCTAGAGTATTGTACTGTAGACATGCACTGTTGCTTTTGTCATTTCTAGGGGAGGTGACACCAGGACTATCTCAGGTGGAATATGCACTTCGCAGACACAAACTAATGTCTCTGATCCACAAAGAAGTTCACGGGCAAAGCGGGACAGACCAGACAGTGGTTGTGCTCTCCAACCCTACCTACTACATGAGCAACGATATCCCCTACCCTTTCCACCAGGACAACAATTTCCTGTACCTGTGTGGATTCCAAGAGCCTGATAGCATTCTGGTCCTTCAGAGCCTCCCCGGCAAGCAGATGCCTTCACATAAAGCCATACTTTTTGTGCCCCGGAGAGATGCCAGTCGGGAGCTGTGGGATGGTCCACGATCTGGCACAGATGGAGCCGTGGCTCTAACTGGAGTGGATGAAGCCTATCCACTGGAAGAATTCCAGCATCTGCTACCCAGAATGAAAGGTAATTCACAGGAGCAGAAGATAAGCCACAGGCCAGGTTGAGGTTAAGACCTTCTTTATCTTCTATGTGTAGTTTTTAATTTCCCAAAATGGTTATTTGTAGAAGCACTTCTCTTAGCACCATGAAAGAGACACAAGTCTTTTCCAGAAGACTGAGCTGCTTTGAAGAGTTTATATGTCCATTTGTTAAATCTTCACTAGTAATTCATTAATAGATACTGCTAACCAGCTTAGTTTGAAATCTTAGAGCGTTTCCTTTTAAAGTGAAGACTGGGTATGGGCCTTTGACCACTGCTTCCTGTCCTAGTTATTTTGTCAGCTTTTCAAAAGGAGGCACTGTTTTCAAAGAATGATCCATGCACAAGCTGTATCCAGATCACCCAGGAGTGTGTATCAGAATTAGAAATGTGTGATAGATATTAGAAATGTAAAATCTTAGGCCCCCATCTCATGGCTACAGAATCAGAATGTGCATTTTAGCAAGATTCTCAGCAGGGCATGGTGGTGTGTGCTTGCCTAAAATCCTAGCATGCCTGTAATCCCAGCACTCGGGAAGCTGAGGCAGGAGGATTGCCACAAGTTTGAGGCTACCCTAGGCTGCATGGTTTAAAGCCAGCCTGAACTACACAGCAAGACCCTGTCTCAAAAAAAACCACAAAAATTAACAAAATTCTCTGGTGATTTCATAGACACAATTGAGTTGTTGCCCCTCCACTCAAGATTGCTGCCTCTCTATTTTTATTCTACTGAATTTTTTTTTTTTTTTGGTACCAGGGTTAAAACTTGAGACCTTGCACTTTCAAGGCAGGCAGCTATACCCCTGAGCTAAATCCCTAAACCTATTCTGCTGAAATTTTGATCATTCAGAATGTGTTGGGATTTTTTTCATCTGGAACTGTCTTCACAACCCATATCACGTTATAAACTGTCTTTAGTGATTCTTATAAATCACTAAAGAAGCATTTTATTCTTAGAAGTATCCAAAAGTCACATAGAGCCAAATTTGGAAACTAAGATAGATGATGTTAAGAGTACTTTTAGGGCCAGGGATTTGGCTCAGTGGTTCTGCCACCTGCTTTGCTAGCGCAAGGTCCCAAGTTTAATCCCCAGTAACGAAAAAACATATACATACATATTATGGTATTAGTCTTTTTCTTTGTCTAATAATTTTATATAGTAAACAACTAACATTAAGAATGGTGGATCAAAAGTGTTTTGTTTTGTACTGGGGATTGAACTCAGGACCTTGCACTTGTGAGGCTGGTGGCAGCACCACTGAGCTAAATCCCTGGCCTAATAGTGGTATTCTTTTATTTTTCACAACAGTCTCCCTATGTTGCTTAGGCTGGCCTTGAACCCTCAATGCCTCTGCCTTGGCCTCCTGAGTAAGTGGAATTACAAGTATAACACCATTCCTCCAGGATTTTGTTGTTGTTGTTGTTGTTGTTCTGGGGATCGAACTCAGAACCTTGCTCTTGTGAGGCAAGCAGCAGCACCACTGAGTTATACCACCATTCCTGACCTGAAGTTCTTTAACCTTTAAAAATATTAGCTGGGCAAGGTGGCACTCACCTGTAATCCCATCACTCAGAAGGCTGAGGCAAGAAGATTGCTGTGAGCTTGAAGCCAGCTTGTGGTACATAATGAGTTGAAGGCCAACCTGACCTACAAAGTGAGATCCTACCTCAGTAGTAGTGAACCTAGGGCACATGTGTTACTGTTTGTTTGAGACAAAAGATGTTAATGTAAGAGTTTGTTTCTAAACTAAACACTCAGTATTCATGTTTAATCACAGTGTTGGCACTTTGCAACAACTAAGTGGGTTTTGGGTTGTAGTTTGCACACTCATCTCTAAAAGGTTCCCCACCACTAGTTTATCTCAAAAAAAAAGAAAGGAGGGCCGGGGATTTAGCTCAGTGATTCTGCAACCTGCCTTGCAAGTGCAGTGTCCCGAGTTTGATCTCTGGTACAAAATAAAAAAGAAAAGCAAGAAAATGGAGAAGAGAAGAAAAAAATTATTAATAGGCTGGGGAGTTAAGTCTGTGGTGAAGTGTTTGCCCAGCATGCATGAGTCCCACTGTTCAGTCCCCCAAAAAACAGAAAAGAAAATAATTTAACAAGCTAGGACGTAGTGGTCCATTCCTGTAACCCCAGCACTCAGAAGGCTGATGCGGGAAGATCACAAGTTCAAGGCCAACCTGGGCAACTTAACAAGGTCCTGTTTGAAAAACAAAATGCTACAAGAAATGTCCATCTCTTATAAGTAGAATAAATACTTCCCATGCAGTGTGTTTTTTGTTTTGTTTTTTGGAACCGGGATTGAACTCAGGACCTTGAGCTTCCAAGGTAGGTGCAGTACCACTGAGCTAAACCCCTGGCTTTTTTTTTTTTGAGACAGGGTCTCACTATGTAGTTCAGGCTCACCTTGAGCTCCTAATGAACCTACTGCCCAGCCTCCCAAGAGCTGGCATTACAGATATATAATGCCCAGCTCCCAAATTACTTTTCGATCATATAAAGTAAAACAAAGCACTGTTCAGACTTAGATTGTTAGGAATATAATTCATAGATTACTGTTAGGAAAAAAATATCAATTAGGTATGGGATGTTAAGTACAAATAATTTTCATAATGAGACTTCATGTTATAGATCTCTGGCAGATAATAGGCCATTTTCTTAGGTCTCTGAACTTAAAAGCTACAAGAAAAATGGACAGCAGATGCAAAGGGAGATCTACACATATTATCAAGTATCACATTTCTATAGCAATGAATAATTGTACCAAAATGAGAAAGGCAGGGCACGCTTTTACCTGTAAGATCATGATCTAAGCACTTCTTTCTGTTTTCATTGTCTGCACATCAGTAATGATGATGGATAAGTTATTTATCCAGTTAGATTGTTCTTTAATAGTTAATAAATGGGGCCAGGGATATAGCTCATTGGGTCCTGAGTTTGATCCCTGATACTGAGGAAAAAAAAGTAAATACTTTGTAATAAAATCAAAACTTAAAGCTTGCCAGGCATGGTGGCACATGCTGATAATGCCAGTACTCTGGGAGGCTGAGACAGGAGGATTGCAGGATTGCAAATTCAAGCCCATCCCTAGCTGCTTAATTTAGTGAGACCTTATCTCAAAATAAAAATTGGCAAATAAAGGCTGAGGATATAGTTCAGTGAAGAGGCCTTGTGTTCAATCCCAAGTACTATAGAACGTATAGTTCTATCTATCATCTTTCTGAAGAACGCTGATATTGTGGAACAAAAAGCTATATATTCAGCCCCAGAATATCTTGCTATTTTCAAAGAATGGCCTTTCCTGTGATTTATGATTGAAACTATCAATTGCTTTAGTCCTGAGAGTTTTATTTTATTTTATTATTTTGGTACTGGGGATTGAACTCGGGTCCTTTCGCTTACAAGGCAGGCCACTGAACTGCTGAGCTGAATCTCTGGCCCATGAGAGTTTTATTCAATGCTGCAGGTTTTATAGCTTTGAATTGTTCAGGTCACCGTGGCAGTTGGTATTTCTTCTTGTTGCTGTTAATTTAATTTTTTGTTTCGTGCTGAGGATTGACCCAGGGCCTTGTGCAGTACATCTCTGCCACTGAGCTATACCCCATCCCGTCAGTTTTAAATGTATTCTCTGGCTTTTCTTCAAAGCTGAGACAAGCACAGTGTGGTATGACTGGATGAAGCCTCCACATGCACAGCTTCACTCTGACTACATGCAGCACCTGACTGAGGCCAAGGCCAGGACTAAGAACAAGGTTCGGGGGCTCCAGCACTTGATCCAGCACCTGCGGCTCATCAAATCTCCTGCAGAAATTGAGAGAATGCAGATTGCTGGCAAGCTGACCTCACAGGTATGGTTCCTACTGAAAACATTTTTTCTAAATTACAGAATCACTCAAAAAAACAAAGAAATACAAATCACAGGTGCTAGTTGCGATTTCAGGAGATCAAAGTAGGTCTTCAACTTGTTCATTCCTTTTTTCTTTGGTCTCTTACGTAGGGGTCTTTAAACAGCAGCCCACACGACTTCAGTTTACTTCCAGAATTGCCATGTGGATTTCCAGATAACAGTCACTGATCCTAGCACTCAGGAGGGTAGCTGTTTGTTCAGTGCCAGTTTGAACTATAGCAAAACTATATAGTTTGAACAATGTAGCCGGTCTCGACAAAAAAAGAATTAGAAAACAAAACAGTTCCCCATGTAGATGGTCCTTTTTTGTTGTTCGGTTGTTATTAGTATTAGTTTTATTTTTATTAGTACATGTTTGCAACACACAATGACTGCATTTACCACAGGGAGTTGATGCATGTGCATAACACATTGTTTTTCCTTCTCTTTCCCCTTCTTCCTTCTGAGCAACTTTTTCTTAATTTCTTCCCTAAGGAGTGTGCCTTCTGCTGGACTCTGAACATCTGCTTTCTATGCAAAGTTTGTATAGAAACTCAATTTTGTAGCTGTCATTTGTGAACCAGACCAAATACCTGGCAACCTTCAGCAACTGGTTGAAAAGATGGATGGTGAGCCGGGGATTTAGCTCAGTGGTTCCAGTGCCTGCCTCGGAAACGCAATGACCTGAGTTCGATCCCCAGTACCAAAAGAAAAGATGGATGGAGGGCCTACTTGCTAATGAATCTAATGAGTCTCTCTCGTGGATTCCTCTGGTAACAGGCTCCATATAGTCAATTCATTTTCATTCTTGGTTTCTTGGGACAGGGTCTCCGTTATACAGTCCAGGCTGGCCTTGAACTCGTGGTGGTACTCCTGCGTCCACCTCCCAAGTTCTGGGATTACAGGTGTGTGCTGCAACACCTGGCTGGGCATTGACTGTAATTAGAGTGCCTTTGTGCTGTGTGTTGGGTGACTTCTGGCTGTTGTCCCCACTTTTCCTCTTGCTCATCACCTTAAGGGAATAAAAGTGTCTGGAAGGTTTCCTGGGGTCACTCTACAGGCTCCTTCCATTTTTATCCAAGTGGATATAGCAGACATGGAGGCAGAACCCCAAGGCACCAAAGAAGCTTTCGCTGTCTGGGCATCTTGGTTGTCAGTCCCTGTGCTCCCCTCTGTGACAGAGGTTCTGTGCTGAGGACTGCGTTCCTCTTGGGCAGCTGGTCTGGGCTGCTTTCCTAGGACACCGGTCACCCGCAGTAGCCACTCCCTTTTTTTTTT